CGAACTACTGCAACACCCTGCACCGTTCAGAAACCCTGGTTTCTGATTCGATTCCCTGTAAATACCAAATACACGCTGTGGTTCCAACCATGGTGAATCCTTTCGGGCGGGCTCGGATTTCCTCCATCCACAGAACTTCTTGTCTTGGGTCCAGACGCATCTGGCCGAGGGCGGCCGACGACTTCGGGCAGCTGCTGAAGTGGCAGGCAGCCTTCCAGGACCGGCTCTTCTTTGTGGAGCGCGACGCCCTAAGGCGCGCAGCCCTCGAAAGAGGCTCAAAATGGGGCCCTTTTTGATAGATGTCTTGCCATGTTTGGGGCTTTTTGTGGTCCTTCGATGCCATAAAGGTTTTTTCCGCCCTTACTTCAAGTGAGGGAACCAGGACAGCGATTCTGCTTATTTACCGTGATTTGCCATGGTTTTGTGATTGAGTTGGCAGGTGAAAGAGGTGAAGGTTTCGGGGGGGGGGGGATGTTTATGGTTGCGCAGGCATTGCAGGCGTCTTGATGCGGCTTGGTGACGGGAGCCGAGGCAATAATCTGATAACAACACAAACCGACGAGTTCAACTACTGTGGAATGAGTCCGAATGAAGCTTGGCAACGATTTCAATACTTCTCTAGGCGTAACATCCCCATTCTTTCCAGGGATCCTTCTTTCCAGAAAACCACAAAATACAAAACAAAACGGTGAAATGGCTGGTTTTTGAAAAACACGATGGCTAGAGCTTCTCATGCTTGCTTTTCTCTTCCACTCGGGCACTCGCCAAGCTCACCGGGCCAGTGCGCCGGAGACCTACGACGACCTCGCGGCCTTTCTGGGGCTGCCGGGCTTTCGCGCGCAGCGCTTCTGGCGCTACAACGCCCGCGGAAGGCGGGTGGATTCCGTGGGGTGGGTGGGTGGGTGGGTGGGTGGTGTGGGTGGGTGGGTGGGTGGGTGGGTGGGTGGGTGGGTGGGTGGGTGGGTGGGTGTGGGTGGGTGGGTGGGGTGGGTGGGTGGGTGGGTGGGTGTGGGTGGGTGGGTGGGTGTGGGTGGGTGGGTGGGTGGGTGGGTGGGTGGGTGGGTGGGTTGGTGGGTGGGTGGGTGGGTTGGTGGGTTGGTGGGTTGGTGGGTTGGTTGGTGGGTGGGTGCGTGGGTGGGTGGGTGGGTGGGTGCGTGGGTGGGTGGGAGGGTGGGTGGGTGGGAGGGTGGGAGGGTGGGAGGGTCCAGGCAGGTTCCGGGGCTGTTGGGTATGTTGAACCACGGAACAAATGTGGGGAGGGGATTGGGTTGACCATTCGCCATGTTTTAAAAGAGTCACTTACACGGGTAGGCAGTGTGCGCCAAGCTGCCGCATTGCGTGCACGTTGTAGTGGCCACCCATGCCTTAGGCTGAGTTGTACATATGTATACATGGATATATATATATATATACATACAATGCACAAGACTGTGGTGGGATTTCATAGTCAGCATGGAGTTCAATGCCAGCACTTTGACGTTTTTTGTTTTGTTTTTTTCTTGATAGAAATGCACGTGCTGCAGGAGGCTCTCTTTACTCTTGTCTTTCTCTTTCTCTCTTACCGTGTACCAACTTCAATGGCATGGAGATCAATTCTTCGAGGTGTTTGGTGACCTTTGGAAGCTTTGCTATGATACAACTTTCATCCCTGCATTTTGGATTCCCTCGCAAAAATCCCCAGACTCCCCACTTTAGTGTAGATTGAGCGTTCCGGCTCCGGACAGGCGCGAGCCGAAGATCTGCAACAGGCCAGGGCGGTGAGTTCTCAAAGTGTGGGAGGTCTTGGTCTTCCAACGCCTGCCTGGGAGCTTAGTTTTTTCCCTCCCCCAATGAAATTAGGTTGACCGGGTAGGACCGGCCGAATGCTAGAATGCTTTTCAAGGTCACCCTCCTCTTTTTGGCCTTGGTTTTGGAACTCGACACGCTCACCTCTCACCCACAGAAGGGGGTTTGGATGAGGGCTGCTGTCATTGCAGGAGTCGCCCACAGAAGGCAAGGCTTTGGATGAGGGCGGCTGTAGGCATTTGGAGTCATGATTTATGTTGTGCCTAGATCATGTGGCCCTGGGCGGTTGGTTCAAAGCCACTGGGGCTTCGGGAAGCCGGACAGTCGGACAGGACGCTGCTGGCCCAGCTGAAGGAGCGCTTCGACTTCAGCTCCTCGGAAAAGAAAAGAGAACCTCGGCGCGCCGAGGTGCTTCGTGGATTGATCCAGTGTGGGGATGCGTACTTCATGGAAATGTGTTGGGATGTAGATTGGGATCCAGGGGTGAAAATAGGTGGTCATGTAGTGTAGCACTGCATAGGGGTTCAATGGTAATGGACATGTGAGGAGTTTGAATGCAAACAGGCAGCTTTGACCAGGCCAAGCCGCCGAGCATCGGGGTGAGCCTATCCCTGACTCGCATGGGCAACCTGTGCAGGCCTTCCAAACATGCTTCAAGAAACTGGCAGACTAGCATAGCTTCTGTACGTCTTATACATTCCCCATCTTGCGTTGA